ACAAACAACGATTTAAGGCAACTCTCCTTCAGTATCCAGTGACGCCAATCTATGAATCCCTTCAAACCGCCGTCTCAAATAAAATGGAAGGTATGCTAGTATCAATCTACTAAGGGATTCCTCAAAACCCAGTTTCACTTCATATGAGGAAAATAAAACCTTTTTAGTTATTGATATCTTTTCAAGGATTTTCAGATCCTCTTTTCTGGCCGGGCTTGTACGAAAAGTGATGCGCAGGCGGTTACTTATATGTGTAAATGACATGTTAACGCATATATAAGATATCTGAATATAAATCATTCTGCACAGGCCTGTTGTTACAAAATTCGGAACCCACATAGCACAGTTTACGCAGGATATTAGATAAACTAGCCCAACGATAAATGCTTCGTAGGATGTGAAGATCATAAGTAGGGGGAAGATAGGGGAGTTCATATAAATCAACAAGACGACAATCTAAATTGAAGAGAAGAGTCAAGAAAATTGAGCAGAAACTACTTTTGGCTGTTGGTTATGAGTAGGGCAGCAGAGAATGAAAACTAAGCTTAATTAGACTTAAATCTGACTAGGATTCTAACGCATCACACGAAGCATGAGCATTGCATGCATACAACGTACAAACTAACATGCTTAAATATGGTCACACCATCTTGGTCTTCATACTAAAATATGACTAAATAAACAAGTGATTTACGCGAGGATACTAAGTCCCAACCGCATCCACTGTACGCGTCATCCTCAACTACTTCTCTTATTCGCAAGCATGCAATAGCTAACAAAATAATAAGATGTCTCATTAATAATATGAAGTAAGGCTATACGAATTAGGTAGGAGTAAACCCAGTCACATTTTTCTCCTCTGTGCTCGGTAAACTTTGACAAAGCATGGTTACCTGCTATGATGATGTCTGCCATATGGTAAACAAAGCTCAGCACGGATTTATTGGGGTCGTGGGACGATGCGCCAAAAACTTATTCGAAAAAAATCGAGTAACAGCTCCAAGGCAGCAACCCACTTGCCTTTTCAAATGAAATAAAAGGTACAACTACGTGAATAAAGAATAAGGCTGGTATATTATGGTTTGGCCATAGTCTATTGGTTCTGCACATAGTTAAATCGACTGAAAATTGTACATTATTTTTATTCTGACTACAATAGTAAAAAATAGCTACTTCAATAAGGGATCTGAAGTTGATATAAAAGCTCTATTGTACTACAAAGTTGCAAACTGATCCACATTCCTGAACAGCTTTATTCATCATGGTCAATCAACATTTCAAGCTCTTGAGTATTTATTAAGTTTTGGCTCTAGCTTTTGGACACACTTTGCACCTAGTCCAGCTCAGAAATATTGTTTAACTAGGCAGCACATGTAGAAGTTTGAGCCAGTATATAAATTAGAGATCAGATCACTTGGCGACCCTATATGGCTTGACAATAATTTTCAAGCATCGCCCTTACACCCAAGAGTCTAAAAGTGTGTAGATTCTTTTAGCATATGTAAACGCACATGTGTTGCGTTCATAAGTTACTCAGAAATTTTCAAATATTTTTTAACAAAGTATCTCATGACATTTGCATTATTAGTCCCTGGACGAGGTCGCAATGGAAGCAGGCGGTATGCAAAACTTCTTGACTGCAGCAGAATGAATATTATACGTTTTACTTAAGGATTTGAGCTAGGACAGATTTCCAGCGCTCTTGAGAGAAATTACCTACTAAAATTGTGGTGTTCTCAAATTGAAAATGTTTTCTAGAATAAGCTTAGTTATTTCAAAGCCCATTCCAAGTCCAGAGGTCGGTCTGAATGTCGCCGTAGACTATACTAGCTGCAAAGACCGTTCGGTGATAAGGGGTAAAGAGATCCAAGACAATTTGCTGTGATTCCAGATGAAATTTGAATTAGCCATCAAAGCTATCGAAGCATGATGTGATGACCTTTGAAATCACAAGCTCACGAACTATTCTTGCAAACATACGGAGTACATTTAGATATGGATTGGTTTTTATCATTACTGATGTTCCGAAAACTTACCAAATACCGATTTTATAGCCCATTCTGCTGAATTTGATTATATACACGAAGCAATTAGTGCCTAATAATTGTGATACTTGTGTCAACTTAATCCTAGTTTGTAAAGTCTGTTTATGAATAAGTACATTATGCCTTTATTTGAAGAGATTTTAATCTTTCCTGTGAAAAATGTAAAAACCTTCCACATTGTAGACATCGGAGATCGTATTGGGGTGAATACCAGCAAAGCCTAATGAGACTTAATAAATAAACAGAAGTTAAGAGTTGATTTGACCTCGTTTTGTAAGTTGGTCAGAGTGACAATGTGACCTTGTGGTAGATCCTAGGACCTAAGCCCTCTCTCACATTTATAAATAAGATCTCCAGCACCTGAGCCATGATTTAACAAATTCCAATATCGGATGGTTGAAATTATCATAACCATGAGACAAAGTAAATTCTATAAGAAGCTGTTGACCTTGTTTTCGCAACTTGGTCATATTGGTAGAAAGACTTAGAGGAACGCACCTAGTCCAAAGTCCATTGTATACATGATGATTTACAAAGTCGGACCGTTGACTTGGTAAATTCCCAGACATTTTGCCGGCATCGTCAGTGAGTCTTACCAATCTCAGCACCATACTACAACTTGTCCTCGGACGTCCACGGTCCGACTTTGGACATTATCATGCATACAATGGACACTGGACTAGGTGTGTTCTTCTAAGTCTTCCTACCAATATGACCAAGTTGAAAAAACAAGGTCAAACAACTTCTATACAACGAAAGGAGACTGCGACCACACAAAATATCACACTATCTTGGTCTTTATACCTTCGATTAAATTCTATAAGGTCTCTTTGGCAGCCTGATTAAGTTGGGAAAACG